ATCTGTAACTCAACCACTAGGACGCCACAACGTATAAGAGCATGCCACTCCAGAAGGTTGCCTGAGGCCCAAATAGACAACGGTACAGATCGTCCAGGCGGTGAAAGCAGCAAGCAGTAGTGTGATCCGTGCGCCCGCAAACCTGGCTGTGCAGTAGGCCGGACTGGATCTGGTACATACAGTGCACAGGACCCCCAGGCCCGACGCCACCCTGTCCCTCGGAGGAGCCAAGCGAGCCCCATGGTTGCGACTGCCCGGGGCCCAACCACTAGGATCAACACCATGGCCAAAACCTCTAGTACCGCACTACGGCAGCTGCTGCTGGGGACGAGTACCGTATCCACCTGGATAGGTGCCCCTAGGGGCGTGTAGGGAATATAGGGCTGGGAAAGGGTGGGGCTAATGATAAAGATTTAAAAAATTAGCCCCATGGCTAATCCTACGTAATTATAAGAACCTTTTCTTTAAAAGTAGGACTGTACGTACATGTTGCTGCTACCGAATTGTGGTCGAATAGGCGAGGGCCATGTGGAAGATTCCTGAGAAAATGCTCTTCGAAGGTTCTGCCATGCATGGTGACTCAATGAGCCAATGGGAATCCTACTATGTGTGTGCTGGAAGTCAACAGTTCGGGCGATTTTCTGGAAGTCATTTTTTCGGGCCCCTTTCTATAGCTCGCGTCAGATTCAACCTCGAGTCAGTTTTGCGATGAAACGAGCCGGGACACATTGAAGAGTGAAATTTAATGTGAGGACCGCATCGGTCTGACATGAGGTTTTCTTACGCGAGATCACATGTACAATAATGTGTGCGCATGCGGCAGAAACACGCTCTGAGCTGTCTGAGAGCAGAATTTTTCGGAATGAGGGAAAAGGCACTGCCGACGCCCAATGCGAGCCTGGTCGTCATTGCTCCTTGCGCCTTTCGCGTTGCAAGGCCGCCGTGAGTCACGGGTGATCATATTAGCAGCTGTGAGCTGCTCTGCTGGCGACTCGGCGGCTATTGTGGGTCGAAAGAAAGCAACGCCGAGTCTTTGCCACTGTAGACACCACCGCGCTGGCCTTTGTAAAGCTGAGCTGCTGAGGAGACACACCTGCACTAACCTAGGAGAACTACGTCACTACCTGGGCCTGCAGATCTCCTGAGACAGAGCAGCGCGCACCATCACTCTCACACGGGCACACTTGGTGCGCCAGGTCCTTCAGAGGTTCGGCCTTCAGTTCTCCTCAGCACAGCCCACACCTCTTCCAGTAGATCACAGGCTCTCTGCTCCACTTCCTGAGGAGTCAGCAGAGCCCAGTGGTCCTTACGCAGAGCTGGTGGGTTGCCTCATGTACCTGATGACTTGCACTCGTCCAGATCTCACATACACTCTCAGCATCCTGGCTCGCTTTGTGGCCACAGGGAGACACAGACCTCAGCACTGGTCTGTAGCTAAGAGGGTTTTGCGTTATCTCGCGAGTACATTAGGCATGGGGTTAGTGCTGGGAGGACGCAGGCCGGTGGTCATTACCGGGCACACAGACGCTTCTTGGGCAGACGACGCAGAGACCCTTAGGTCCTCGGAGGGCTACTGCTTTAGCCTTGGTTCAGGTGCTGTCTCGTGGAGAGCTACTCGCTCCTCGTCTGTTGCCCAGTCCAGCTGTGAGGCCAAGATCTACGCCGGTGTCATGGTGGCACAGGAGCTCCGCTGGCTGACCTTCCTACTCACTGACTTAGGTGAGCGGCCTAGCTCTGCGCTTGTCCTGTACACTGACGACAGGGCCATGTTCCTTCTGTGTCAGGAGCCTTGACTTGAGGGCAGAGCAAAGCACATCCAGCTGCGGTACTTCCTCCCGCGCGAGCTGCAGCAGCGTCGCCAGGCTCGCGTAGTACACTTGGCCTCCAGTGCCGACACAGCTGATATCTTTACGAAGGCTCTTGCGCCTAAAGATCATCAACGGCACTGTGTACAGCTAGGCCTTGTTCCTGTTACCTCTGACCTGCTAGGGCCTTGACTATGTACTGACCTTTATATATACTTTTGTTTATTCTTGACTTGCGTTGTGGCCTCTCCCGGTGGGTGGACTAGTAGTGCCGCCCTGGCCTTGCCCGTGTACTGGTCTGTACTTGTTTGACTCGTCTTTAGACCCTTGACTCAGAGGTTGGACTAGTAGTGCCGCCTTGAGTTGCCATTTCTCTCATCAGGAACTACACCTATGCAGTCTAGGGGGTGTGTCAAACATATATATATATATATAGGTTATGTTTCTATAGATTGTATAGGTTCGTATCTTAGAGGGTACAACACTTAGGCTTATACCCTTGTACGTTTTTCTCTCGACATTCAATTCTACGTTAAGAACAACACCCCTCCTTGTATCCCTCTCTCTTCTATTCTCGACCACTTTTCTGTCGTCAACTTTCTCTCATAGCTCCTAAACCCTCACGCCATTCCATGGCCGCCTACCGTTCCTAGCATCCTAGTCTTTTGACACGCACGATGCTCAGAACTCCCAGGGCCCCACTGCGGCTGCTACTGTGGTGGCGGCTGCTGCTGCTGTTGCCGCTGAGTCTGCTGAGGTTGCTGCTGAGGCTGCTGCCACCGCTAAGGCTGCTGAGGTTGCTGCTGAGGGTGCTGCTGCTTCTTCTGCTGCCTACTGAGGCGGCCAGCGGTAGGCAACGAATGGCAGGCGCCCAGCGGCAGGTGGCGGCCAGGCGGCGGGCGATGAGCGGGCCGCGGTGAGCGAGCGGGCCGGTGGCAGGCAACTAGCGAGCATCCCGGTGACGGGCAAGCGGGCAGGCAACGAGGCTGCAGGCTGCTGACTGCACTGGTGGCGAGCAGCGGGCAGTAGCGAGCGGCGCTCAGCTGGCGGCGAGCAGGGGGGCAGCGCGGAGCTGTGGCGGCAGCTTAGGACTAGGGTGCAGGCTGGGGCACAGGCTAGGGCAACAGACTAGGGCCTAACCTAGTCTAGGAGGGTAAGCTAGGCTGGAAGAGGAATGGGGAGCACCTAGGGTGGAAGCGTGGAGGCTATGAACCTTTCTAGTTCGATACCATACCGACATGGGAGAATCAAGTGGCTCAAGCATGTACACGACATAGTTTGTATCTATGTATTGTACTCCTTATTATCTGCACCTAGCTGGGCTATATTGTATGCATATATATCCTTTATATAGATGAACGCTAACACACATACCTACTCCAATGTGCGAAAGCAAAAGTTGGGTGTGTAAAAATAGCATTGATATCATGAACGTAAAAACCGAAAGAATATAGTTGGATTCCATGTATACATGATAGATTTGGGAAAGATTGTCAGTGCTAACTTGTTGCTATCATGTAGATATCACATTTGCAAGATACACAAGTTATGGCCAAATCTTGAAATGATTTGCATAATAGTTGAATATTGTTTTATGAGGAATGATCATTGCTGGTTCTGAAGGAAGGTGCTGTTGACGGCAATTATTCAAATGTCAGCATCGTCAGCCGTTGGATGATCGCGTCTCATGGAATGAACAGTCAGGATCCACCAAGAGTCAATGGAAATGACGAGTCACATTTGTGAAGCACCGAGTAGTGCAGTGCTGTGTACCATCGATCTGAAAAATTGGCGCAGAACTAGACGTCGGATGAAGTGTGAGGCGGCTCGTGTGCTGTCCCGCTCTCCTTCCAGACTCCCAGCCCAAACCCCCTTTTTGATCCGCTATCCGCGCAGATTGATCGAAGTTGCACCTTAGCGATATTTGCATGACTTGACGGAGTTGTCACCTCAAGCGTACATTCTTCGACCAAAGCACTTAAATTGGGCGTGAAATTTGTGTGGTGGGTTGGTGTTGCACCACTGGTCAACAAAATCAGCCGAAGCGAGTGCGTTAGCAAAACGTACATTTTACAATGCAGTGAATTTCCCTACAAATATACCAACAAAAATGCGTTTAAAGAGCTGCTAGGGTAGTCGAACCCCATCTCAGCTGACCCATATGGGCCTGCATGTCATCTGGGATGTGTAAACACGAACTCATAGATGTATGAGTTTTGGGTTATCACTCATCAATTCCCATGCCATCCAAGCAATTTTATGCTTATCCTTGTTCGTAGGTAGTAAATAGGCCACAAACAAATCTTGGCAAACTTTGTTAGTTATTGAGATTTATGATCTAGTACGACAATCTTAAATCAATCATGTAGTGATACCTAAAATATTAACTGAGAATTTCATATTATCATGGTCTTAGCGATCCATATTACAATAGGGGGATTTTATGTAATTGCTTATTTTCATTTTTTCCATATATAGCCATATATATTACATGTTGAAATTACCTTATTTATTGGGATCATACGAGTGAAATCTATCAAGATATCACAAATCAAGAGGATAACAATATTCTTGTCATTATTGCCTTGTGTTTGTCCCTATAAAATATCTAGACTTATTGAGCCCCTTTGGGTCAAAGTTATTATGTGTACACAAATGTGAATAATTTTTTTCTCTTCCTTTGCGTTTTCAATCTCAACAAAGATTGTGGTGTATCCATTCTAGCACCAAAATGTATATCTTTTTTCATACTTTATATCGTGATACTGCCTCATATCGTCTTTCAATAAGTGCAAAGGTGGTCTAGTTTTGCGGGTTGTTCGCTGGTTCTGATGGTTAGAATTGTTCGGCTAGCATTAACGGATGAAAAGTAATCGAAAATGAGGTATTTCTTTTATATTGTCTTTTTTGCCAAATCGGTTGACGGAAATACTTATTGAAAATCGGTGGAATCATGCGGGGTAGGAAACAATGTTAGAACTAAGTTTGGGATGTTTGTGTAGAACGCTCCAACCACCAATTATGTACGGGGGGGACACGTCTATTGTGCGCCCGTCATCGTCTGCTGCGCTCCTCGCATCACCTGCGCGAACACCTCTCAGGCTGCCCCAGTGCCCCACACATAGGAAATTTGCCCCCAACCCAACCCCGAGTCCTGTTGTAGCACGCAACGAAGGCACTCGCACCTCACCATTATTTTCGGCCCTCGTTTCTTCTCGCCGCTTCTCACGCATCTGCTGGCCCCAAGAAGCCTGGATCTCGTCCATTTGGAAACTCGTATTCACATTCAAGAAGCTGCCATTTCCCTTCGGTTTCAACATCTCCACATTATCATCAGTGTCCAGTATCGCCACAGGCCCAATTAGTCCCCGCGCACTACACGGCGCTAACACGTTCTCCTCCCCAGCAAACAACCACGCTTCCGGACATTCTTTCCTACCCTGCCTCTCCGCCGAATCCTCAGAACTACGTCTTCCCCCCACATGGCGCTTCCGGGGCTCAAGCGCAAGTGGAACTGGGCGGACTCGCTGCGCCAAGCCACGTCCATCACGGCTCTCCCTGACGACTGGCCGTCTCCGCCGCCCCGAAGCCACCCGCAGCGCGATCCGCAACTAAGAGCGGAGTTCCGTCTTCCTTCCACCGTGTCGCCTCTTTCTAAGAGGCCGAAATGGTCTTCTGACGAAGGCTCTTACCTCCCGCAACCGCATGGTTCCGTTCCTTCATCCGCCGCCGTTCCTGACTTCATGAATAACGGGGTTCCTGGCGCGGCGCGTGTCTCCGAATCGCCCCACCCGCCCGCGGACTCTGGCGGCGATGGCGCTCGACTCGCGAGTCGGGAGACGCCGAGTCGGCTGATAAGAGGCGCCACGTCATCGGACGCGGGACCGCGTGGACGCACCACCGCGGCGGCGGCGGCAGCGCATGGCGCAGCAACCGCGGCAGCCGCAGCTTCCGGCGGCAAGCAAATTCTGCGAACTGCTGCGACGGCGCCATCGCATGGCGCAGCAACCGCCGGTGAAACCGGCGATGCCGCGGATCAGGCGACGCTCGGAAAAGGAACGGAAACAGGGACGGCACGCGGTGGCAGGCTTGGAGCAGGAACGGCAGCGCCGGAAAGCAGGATGGGCGCTGTGACCCTGCTGGTGCACATGGTGCTCGCGCAGCTGAGCGTGAGTCAGCGACGACAGGAGGCGACACCTGCGACGAATGCGACAATGGCGACGGCACCGACGACCCCTTGTGGCGGTTTTCCGAATGCCGCCACTTGCGGAGATTCAGTCACTGTGAAGAGGTGCCGCGTCAACCTGCCGCCGCAAATCCCGGCCGCCATAGCCGCTACCGGTACGACTACAAGCACAACCATCGCGGAAAATCCGCCGCCGAATGCGGGACTTGAGGCGGGGGCAAACGGCGCCGCCGCTCGCGGGCATGCTGCACGCGGCACACCGCCGGTAGCGCGGCCACTAGTAGTACCAGCACTACCTCCCGTCGCTGCCAGCCCCCTTGGCAGCGCCTCCGCCGCCGCCTCTCCACCTGCCACTTCGGCTCAAAACCGGACCGTGCAGGGAAGTCCCTTCTTGGCGGCTGGTTCCTGCGGTGCTGCTCCGAGCGGGGAGCATAGAACAGCTGCGAATCCTAAACTGAGCGGTGCTCAGTTCCCACCCACTCACACCGCCACAGCTTCTCGACCTGCTGTGCCCGACGCCCCCGCTACAACCACCCATGAACTTGCTGCTGCGAGTAATCGGGCGCCCGCGTTCCTTCCCCCTCTGGCTGCGGGCAAGAGGACGGTGTCAGTGCCGGCGTCTTTGCTGGGCAAGGTTCAAGTGCTGACGGCGCTGCTGCGAGCGCGGGGACTGGAAGAGAAGAACGCAGTGGCGCTGGCGATACTCGTTGCTAGCAGTGGCGCCACTGCTGTTGCTGCTGTTGCTGCCGCTGGTGCTGGCGCTGCTGCTGCTACTGGTGCTGGTGCTGCTGCTGCTGCTGCTGCTTCTTCCAATAAGTGGACGTGCCTTCCCCCTCTGGCGCCTCGGGGGAGTTCAACGCGGGGAGATGCTCCATCACCCGTCAGGCAAGGTCACCAAGGGAAGCCCCAGCAGTTGCCACAGCAGAAGCAGCAGCAGCAGGGCCAGCAGCCGCGATTGTTGCAGCAGCAGCGGCAGTACTGCCTGACTACCCGGGTTCCACAGCCGCAATTCCATCACAAGCGGAAGCAGGCGGAGGAGTGGCAGCATGTGCACCAGCTGGACGTGAAGCAGCAGCAGCAGCAGCAGCAGCATTGCACGCAGCAGAATAAAGTTCCGCACAATCGACTGCAGCAGCACGAACTGCAACAGCCGCCTCAGACTCCACCCCAGCGGGGGTTGCTGCAGCGGCCAACGAACCTCCCTCGTCCCCGCCACCCTCACCCCAAGCCTCGGCCACAGCTGCGGCAGCAGCATCAGGAGCAGCAGCAGCACGCGGGTGTGAGCCCACCAGGCACTCCGCCATCGGCTGTAGCGGCAAAATCTGAGCATCCGTGCATGCACAGCCCCTGCAGTAGCTCCAGTACAAGCCCCACGTACCGTGCAAGGGGCGGCAGCTGCAGCAACGGCAAGTGGGTGGTAAGACTCAGTAGGAAGGGCAAAACCTCGTCTGGAGGATCGGCGAGTCAGGCTCGGCGAGTGAGACGCTTGGGAAATGCTGCTTGCACTGCAGCCGCTGGTGGGGGAAACCCAGGAAAAGAGACGGTGGAGGGCAGGGTTCGGCAGACATGTGCTCCTGCTGCTACCAAGGAACCTGCAGCTGCTGTGCCCGGTTCAGTTGCAGCTACTGCCAGTCCTCCTGCGGCTGCCAACGCTACTGCTGCTGCACCCTCGGTCGCTGCACCTGCTGCGAGCTCGCCACTCCTGCTGCTCGCCAATGCGCTGCCACCGCCGGACCTGGAGTTGTGCCACCATGAGCCAAACCAGTTCGAGCAGAACCAAGCAGCAGGAGCAGCGACACAGAAGCAGGGGCAGCAGGGGCAGAGGCAGAAACGCATGCGCATGGGAGGAGGGACACACGAGGATGAGACGACAGAAATCGATGAGGGAGGAGGGGAGATGAGGAGGCGGGTAGAGGGGGGTTTGGGGATGGGGATGGGGATGGGTGTGGGTGTGGTTGAGGAGGTGAGTGGGGAGAGTAGCAGTGCACTGTCCTCCTTGGCTCTGGTTGTGGAAGCCATGAGCAGTGCCAGTGAGAAGGGCGAATGAGAAGAGGAAGAACACATTTTTTTAGGCTAAATTTTATTTTATTATTTCTTGTTAAATTGTTGAATAAAGCTTGATACCGTAAAAGCCCGGATAGAAGACCCCTTAGTAATAGAAGACCCAGGGTCTTGTATTAGGCGTCTATCTTGTATTCGGAATTCCCGTTTATAGGACACCCTCAAGGCGGTATGAGATAAGACCCTCCCTTCTTTAGTGTTTTTTATTCCCGCAAAGCAAGAACTGGGTCTCGCCCAAACGAGTTTAATTGACAGAGACGATGAACGGTTGGGATTAAGCCCGAGCGGGGTGTTGTTGTAGGCATTCGCATCTTCATTACACATGTTTTACCGTCACGATTGACTTCCGCAAAATTTCCCCATTCCGCTGAATTCCTGTTATCAGATGACTCGATATGTTTTGGTACACCTCTCGGGCCGTTCTTCCGGTGAACTTATAAGGGTTCCGTTTATAAGACACTCAGATGCCCCATTTTTTTCCGTTTATAAGATAAAATGCAGTTTTGAATGGTGTTATATGATAAGACCCATAGGCCTTATATCCGGGCTTTTATGGTATGAGGAGACTTGATTGGGGCAAAGGAGCCACGCCTGGATGTTACATATGTAGGCTTGGTAGGTTATCGAACTCTACTGTAGAGGGTACAATTCCCTCCTTGTATGCCTCTCTCTCGTCAACTTTCTCTCCTAGCTCCTAAACCTCTCGCCATTTCATGGCCGCCTACCTTCCTAGTAAACCTAGCTTTGTGACACTGGACCACCAACCCAAGCATGCGTTTACAAAAGTACGCAGCTCCAGGATATGGTTTATAGTCTCTTTTGTTTATGGTTTCTATTCATGATCAATCATTTGTGGCAGTTGGAACAATTGTTATTACATCCGTTTTTCAAGTTGATGCACACATGGGGGACAAAACCTAGCATGCAAGCAGAACGGGGGCTGCAGGTGTAAGGAATTTTCCGTTCCTCGGCCCGCCACACTGCTAGCGCGTACACGACTCATACACACCATGCGACTCGGCCCCAGCTGTTCAAGTGAAAGAATGACTAGAACAAGGCATACAAGGGAATATAACCTAATGGGTTGTACTCCCTAAGGCACACCCCTACATAATATACAAAAACATACAATATATGTTTGACACACCCCCTAGACTGGATAGGGGCAGTGCCCAACAAGAGAAAAACAGCTCAGGGTGGCACTACTAGTCCAGCCTCTGAGGCAGGGGACTAAAGACCAGTCAAACAAGTACAGACAAGGCAAGAGCAAGGCCAGGGTGGCACTACTAGTCTAACCACAGGGAAGAGGCCACAAGGCCAGTCAAGGTAATATATACAAAGGTCTGTACACAATCAAGGTCCTAGCAAGTGAGAGGCTACAGGATCGAGACCTGGCTGTACACAGTGCCGCTGATGATCTTTAGGCGCAAGCGCCTTAGTAAAGATATCAGCTGTGTTGGCACATGAGGCCAAGAGTACTACACAAGCCTGGCGACGCTGCTGCAGCTCGCGCAGGAGGAAGTACCGCAGCTGGATGTGCTTCGCTCTGCCCTCAAGTCGTGGCTCCTGACACAGGAGGATCATGGCCCTGTTGTTAGCGTTCAGAATCGGGGCAGAGCTAGGCCGCTCACCCAAGTCGGTGAGCAAGAAGGTCAGCCAGTGGAGCTCCTGTGCTGCCATGGCAACTGCGTAGATCTCAGCCTCACAGCTAGAGTGGGCAACAGACGAGGAACGGGTGGACCTCCACGAGATGGCACCTACACCAAGGCTAAAGGAGTAGCCCTGTGAGGACCTGAGAGTCTCGGCGTCGTCTGCCCAAGAAGCGTCAGTGTGCCCGGTAAGGACCACTAGTCTCCGTCCTCCTAGCACTAGCCCCATGCCCGATGTACTTGCTAGATAACGCAAAACCCTCTTAGCTGCCGACCAGTGCTGTGGTCGGTGTCTGCCTGTGACCACAAAGCGAGACAGGATGCTGAGAGGGTATGCGAGATCTGGACGAGTGCAAGTCATTAGGTACATGAGGCTGTTGTGATATAATTGATACTTAGCATTTTTGTAAGTCGATTAAGTGTAGTTAGTGTCGAATCATACTGTAGAAGATAAGTCCGTAGGATGACGTCAGCAAATAGCGCTCGTAATAGGACAGTCGTTTCAGTCACGCGAACAGTCGTACCTCTTCAATATCGTTTAGAGCGCATAGCGCGATAATGACGAACAGGTACATTAGCGAATAGGTACTTTTCCTAGAACTATAAATACTTGTTAGGTCTTTTCATTATTAACTTTGATTACTCCCAAGTTCACGTACTCAGGATTATTCAACCTAGACCTTTATATTTTACAAGACTTCCGCTGTCTTACTAGTCTACAATTCCAGCAAAAGATCCTGGACCAACACTTGAGGATTTGCCAAGTGTTCGTGTTTATAGTTTTATACTTAGTCTACTACAACACCATACGTTTTATTTCATGGTATGAGAGCTATCTGGGATTAAGACTACCTTCAACTATGACTGGTTCATCACCAGCACCATCTGCTGGATCAGTTACTGGGACTACTTGAGCACATGTCTCCACTACCGCCGCTGGTCTCTCAGCCTCCGGGCACTTTCCACCAGCCTACGCTAATCTCGGTATGCAACAGCAGAATCCGCCTTCTGTAAATACTCCAGGTGCTCCATCGACTGCACCTGCAACGCAACAGCAACAATCACAGACATCAGCACATCAACAAGCGTCAGTTCAGCCACCAGTTTCAACGCAATCGATTTCATCTGCGTTCAGTGGAATGAGCCTTGACGGCTCAAGTTACATGTGTGGAGCTACAGCTCCAAATACTGGTTCGTTCGCTTTCTCACCTTTCGTACAGCAGCCGCAGTCGCAGCAGTTTCAGCATCCCTTTTATATCTTCGGTCGTTCTCCTGCTCAGCAACCACAGCAAGTACAGCAACAGCAACAGCAACAACAGCAACAGCCAGGCATTGTTTTTTAGCCTCCAAATTTACTCAACAATACTCAGATCAAGACAACCGTACCTTTTAATGGTGTTGACTTCTACTCCTGGAGCTTTGAGTTTGAACTTCTGGCGCAGTCCGCTGGGTTATGGCCGTGCTTTACTGGCGAATTTACGTACCCTGTCGTGGGAACACAACTGGAGCAGCAGAGTTTCCTGCACGCCTCTCTAGGGGCGTATACAGTTCTTGTACGGAACTTGTCGCCGAAGGAGCAGCTCGGCATTCGATCATTTCACTCAAGTTTCACACTAGCCAAAACTGCATGGAACCATCTGAAAGGGGTATACATGGCAAAGGATACGATAACAGTGAGTAAAATACTTTCGCAGCTGACAAGTGTGTAGATGATGACAAATGAAAACATCATGGACTACGTTAACCGCGTCCGTACATTACGTGACCAACTGGAGAAGAGCGGAGGATACTTCCCTCGTGAGATGTATCTCACTGTCCTTCCTGCTGGTCTTGGACCCGAATGGCGACAGACGCGCGCCTTCCTGCGCATGAATCCCAACCTCTCCGAAGCAGAAATTTCTTCTTATCTTCAAGCAGAGCAACAAGATCTTGACCTGCAATCACAACGAAATCAGAAAAAGGGGCTTCATTTAAGTTTTTACTCCAATCCAGAACAACAGCATCGACATCCACCAAAGTATCCATTCTGCCACTTCTGTAAGAAACCATGACATACTTATCAAAATTGTCGCAGCCGTCATCAAGCTCGTCGCAGCACTTCGCAGCCGTATCACCGATCGCAGCAGTTACCAAAGATACAACAGCCACAGCAGCAGTTAACATCTCAGCAGCAGCAGATGCCAAAACCGCCGCAGAATCCATCGACGTCGCAGCATCGTCCGCCTGTCTTCGCATCTGCCACATCAGGAAAAGGGGTTTTTGGCTGCGTCGCCACAGTTGATGTTTCAGAAACAGATTTCGAAACACGACTTGAAGAAACAACAAGTGCTGAAGGCATTCCTTTACCTCAAGTTTACGCTAACCTCGCTCGTATAATTTCAGGTCCAAACACCTGGTATCTCGACAGCTGCTGTGGATGGCACATGTGCTCAGCAGAAACAAGCTTCATTACCAATCAGCGTCCACTTCGTCGTCCGATACCTGTCACAGTCGCAAACGGACAAACGATAATGGCACGATCAGTTGGCAGTGTCATGCTCGAATCTATCGACACGAGATACTCACTTCATGTTACGAATGTTCTTATCGTCGCCGATCTTGGCTTCAATCTTCTTTCCACGGCTCAGCTCCTGGCACACAAAATCCGCACACAAGGAAATTGTGAGACGATGGATCAAGAACTCTGGCACAGTACAACTAATACCTACCTTGGTCGTGCCGCCACTCAACATGGCGTGTCGGTACTTCAGTTCACAGCACAGGGAACTTCTGGTGATTCTGAACGCGTCCTTGCACTTGGTCCCTGGGATCATCCCGAAGAAACGGATTATCAAAACGTGGATATTGACTTTCGAGCAACTTCAGTACCAACAGCTTCTTGAACAGCAGCCGCCGTACTTACCGCGTTGGATACCTGGGAGTTCAATACCGCCGATGAAAGCGCCACCGCGTGGCGAACGTTTTATAATACCCGTGCAGCCTTCCAAGGAACTCCAGTACCACTTTGGGGAGAGATAAGTGGTCTTGCAGCTGATGAACCTGACGTTGTTGAAGAAGCCGAACAGGAAGCAGTAGCTGAGCAGCCGAGTCCAACAGTCGCTGTCACCGACATACACTGACGGAAAGTATTGCCCGGATAATTGCCTTAAAACATTTCTCGTACTAGTTTGGTGCCTTCTTTGTTTAGTTACGAATCAAATTTCGGGGTTTGATGTAAAATAGTACTGTACTGTATGTGACGGATGCTGGTTTCAGTTTTATAGGGGTCGATTTTTTACCGAGGACGAGATTTCGTCCGCGTAGGTGCATCCGGACAGTTTAGGCCAAGCAGCGTAGTAGATCTATTTCCTAACCTCGCTATTTCTTCTTACTTGCCCTCGCGACTATCGAGTAGTCAGGAGATAGGCTAGGACCGCTGC